ACCTATGTGGATGTAATTGTTGCTTCTGCTGGTAAACGGGATAGCAGTCATGTGGGCTGATGCTTGTCTTTCAAGTGACATACCAGGAACATCGGTCTTTGCCTGTAATTAAAGACACAAGTTAAGATTCATAAATAAGAAAACAATTTAAGAGCACCTGAAATGTATAAAGTTTGCTTTTTTTTTTAACCTTTTTTTTTTTTCCTTGAAGGCAAAAAAGATATCTTTATAACTTGACGACAGTGTGTTCATCAGTCTTAAAAATCAGCTTGAACAATGAGAATCACTGGTTTTTGCCTACATTTAAATGTATACACAACTGATATAAAGCTATAAAGGCTCCTTCCTAGTTGAGCTTAGTGTAGCACTACTTTTAAAAATGCAAAAGACAGAAATAACTAAAAGACACAAACACAAATAGAGAACAAAGAAGAGAACAAATAGAGAACAAATGAGAACAAAGAAAGAGATACTAACTTGAGACCATACAGCAACACAAAAGACTGAATGACAATCAAGCAATCCTAAAGACTTACTTCAATGAACAGGGGTTTGAAGATTTCCTCTGTATTGATGGAAAGCCTTGCCATGCCATTGCCTGCAGTGACGCCCTCCACCTCACCAGGCTGCAGCACCACTTTAACACCTTTTGCTGGAGAGTCATCAGGATTCACAACTTGAATCTGCCATCGAAGAATAAAAAGCAGTGAAACGATCGGGAATCTTATCAAAACATGTTTTATACCTTCATCAACAGTTTGAAGAGACTGTAACACATGTTTCATACCTTCTTCAAACTCTTGTATAAATACTGTAATCGTCTGCAAATTGTCGCAGCTGTGCAGCAAAAAGCTATGACTCAGACAAATCATTACGGGCTTGTAGTCATCTGGTTTTTATTTTGCTCTCATTTTACAAAGATGTAAATCTAAACTGGTACTTTACCGCCACGTCAAACGATATTCCTGGTCTGTAATATTGTCGTGTTTTCTTGAAGTGGATGGTGTAGGGCGATTTGACAATCTGGATACCTCTCAACTCTGCCTCCACCATTTCACTGCCTGTTTTTGACACATCACACATCACATCCATAACAGTTCAATCCCCAACATCAGTCCTCTCACATTTACACCTTATTTCTGAAATTTTATTAACAAAATTTGTCACAAAAAATGTCCACAAAATGAAATCAAGTCTTTTATATCTATCTAACCAGTAATACTCAGAACACTAAAGCACCAATAAAATATATCACCACATTTCAAATAAATTTATGAAACGGCAAAATCAGCACGATTTACACATGATGTGACACATTTCTCACTTACCACTCTGCGTCAGCACACTGACAGACACATATATGGAGCCTCCTTCAAGATCAAGGATGTTTTGAAAGGTTTGTGTTATGTGCTCCCTCCTCAGTTTGGCGACTCCTTTACTTCTGACAATCTAGTGCAAAAAATTGCAAACATGGATGTATGAGGAGGTCCTTTTGTGAATTTTTATTACAGCCATTGATATTTTTATTTATTTTTAAAGTGTCTAACAGTTAAACTCCAGTATTACAACTACAGACATGTAGAACTGACATTCTAGTGGTGAGACTAAGTTGTAGAACAAGCTTGAGTTTGTTTGACTTTGAGCGGGAAAGATAAAAAATGACCCACACACACACACACACACACACACACACACACACACAGTACTGACGAATCAACAGGCAGACAGTCGTGCATCAGAATATAAATTTGTTCTCACCTTGACTCTCTGAAGAGAGCTTGGAAGGCTCTTTTTCTGACCCTTATACATAACCCCAAACACTACATAGGCTGTTCCATCCACCTCTTCACCAAACAGGTACCTACAAGTTTAAAAACAATACAAACTCCTTTGTTTTCTCTTCCAGTGAATTTATGAATCAAATTAAACTCACAAAGTGAAAACTTTCACATACACAGCGTTGATATTGATGTCGAGCTCTTTGCTGTCCACGTAGAAGAAGGGAATTGCAGATATCAGTTTTACCTCAAAACTGGGAAGCACTGTGAAATAATGTGCATTTTGGTGTCAAATCAGGCAGGAAGGTGAAGGCTTCAAAGATTTTCAGAGTTTAAGAGGAACCCACCATATTCTTTGACTTCGAACTCTGCAACAAAGCTCTCCTGTAAGTTGCTTTGGAATTTGGCCACCACCTTCCACATTCCAGTACTGCATGCACAAAGAGCTCATATTTCAACAATGACACATTGATGGACATGAAGGACACAATTATAAGTTTCACAGGTCTGTCCAGGTTGGGACAATGTGAAATAACTCACCTGACAATTTCAGCAAGAGGATAAGCTCCAGAGTAGAGCCCTGTTGTCAGCAAGATAAGATCGGATTGTACGATGATGTTGTCAGGGGTCTAAAAAAACATAACAAAGCGATTAACAGTTAGCATCATCAATTTAACAGTCCCTATAGGAAAGCTATCATGTCTATATATCGCTATGAATTTATTATTTTCTGGCGACTATCTGTTTGGTTGATTTGCTCTTTGATTTAAACTATTTTTCAAACTGCCCAATGCAACTTTTGTGTAGGAGTATTTAGGAGTCCTGTGCTGTAAGTGACAAAACTGTGGACCAGTGTTGGTGGTGATCGTACTTTGGAAACAATTTTGAACTCCTCAAGAGACTTTCTCTCCACGATAACATTATTGTCATTATCAGTTATGTAATACTGAAAGATACAATACCATAATGTCAATGGTGACCAAAGTGTCAGTATCATCTTCCTCCTCTACAGGCTCCATGCCGGGCCTCACTGCAAACAGCCTGTAAAGGACTGTGAGAAAGAGGTTGAAAAAGGAAGCAAACACAGAAAACTGCAGTTCTTTGAATGACCACTTGAGGTTGGTTCCAAAAAATAATCCATCCCCACAGACTCCCAGGATAAAATGCCCAACTTCACAGCAAAAATGAAGATATTTACAGCCGGATTCAATAAATGGTTTCAGTCTGTATGGGTCATTTACCCATTCACAATAACTGTAAGACGGGGAATTTTTACCAAACTTTCCTACTTAAATTGTATTAGGGCTTAAATTGATGCATAATTTGGAGAAAGTGACTAGTCGATGCCTCAATTCCACTCATGCAATGGCCAGAGACAACACTATGAGCTTCAAGACCGCTCTTCAGGAAACCTATCGGTGACAACACTGAGGGTTCGGTCATCTTTACATACTATTTATTTCATACCGGCTGTCAACTGCTTTCTTGGCAGCATGAAGCTAAACTCCACAAAGCTGACAGATGGAAAAAGTACAGTCGTCCTCAAATATACTCATACTCTCTCATTAAAGAAGAAAAAAAAAAACAGCTGACAGTGAAATAAGTTGAAATTGACAAAAAAAATAATAATACATAAGAATTTAATGAAAATCCTGACATTGCTTTTGAATTGTAGTTAAACTGAAATATTAACACTAAATAAATAATAAATAATAAATTAAAGCTGCAAGCAGCGTTGGTCGGGTCCTCGGTCTGCGTTGGACCCTCATGCCCGTCTGACCGTTCTTCAAGTTAAACCTGCTTTAAGCTGAAGGAGCCATTTTTCTCTCTCTCCTCTCAGCCTCAGACTGTCAGTGAGTCACATGACCAGCTGCACTGAGCTGTGATGATGTCATCGTTCAGCATGTCCCTTGGTGGGAGAGTGACATTTTTACTCACTTTCTCTCTCCCATACAGCCACAATTTTCACCAAATGTATGTAAAAACAACATATTTTTGTGGGAAATCTTGTTAGGAAGCCCTCAGTGTCATTTTTAAAGCTGTAGGACCTTTAGTTTATTCTGTAGATGACCAACTGACACAGCATGTCTGCACATGCCCCCATAGACACTCATACAAAGGATGAGCCGAGGCTGCAACAGCTCATCAACTTTAACGGCTCGCCATTCGAAAACTGGTTGAGAAACGCCAAATCCCTTCAGAACTTTTGTACATCAAGGCCTTCTCTGTCTGCTGTGCGATTTTCAAGTTGGTACGATTTACGGTGTCAGACAAGATAATTTTTTCCCAAAAGAAGTTTTCACGGATTTTCTTACTTTGAAAGGCAAATTGTGGACTTCCTGTTGGAGATAGGTCAGGGGTGTCAGCATGAGATTTGTGGTTCTCATTGAGACAGACATTTTGATGTTGGTTTGATCTCTGTGCGACATTCCTACTGGGCGCTAGGGCCATTTTAGTGTGTTTTTCTGTAACTAGGTGGCGCTAGAGCATTTTCTTGTTTTTTTTTTCATTTTATCAAATTTTTCGCCGATTCGGAGGTGTGTGCCAATTTTGGTGAGTTTTTGAGCGTCAAATTAAGCCAAAATAATTAGGGTCCGAGGACCCCTACTTGCTGCAGCAAGCAGGGGGTCCTTGCCCTATTGTTCCCGCTTCGTTTCTTTCTTTTTTTAGGGTCCGAGGACCCCTACTTGCTGCAGCAAGCAGGGGGTCCTTGCCCTATTGTTCCCGCTGCGTTTCTTTCTTCTTCTTATTTTCCTGACGAACGCGTTTGCCTTAATTAGACCCCCTAAACACGCTCAAAAACTCACCAAAATTGGCACACACCTCCGAATCGGCGAAAAATTTGATAAAATGAAAGAAAAAGAACAAAAATGCTCTCTAGCGCCACCTAGTTACAGAAAAATACACTAAAATGGCCCTAGCGCCCAGTAGGAATGTCGCACAGAGATCAAACCAACATCAAAATGTCCGTCTCAATGAGAACCACAAATCTCGTGCTGACACCCCTGACCTATCTCCAACACGAAGTCCACAATCTGCCTTTCAAAGTAAAAAAATGAGTGAAAACTTCTTTTGGGAAAAAATTATCTTGTCTGACACCGTAAATCGCACCAACTTGAAAATCGCACAGGACACAGAGAAGGCCTTAATGTACAAAAGTTCTGAAGGGATTTGGCGTTTCTCAACCGGTTTTCGAATGGCGAGCCGTTAAAGTTGATGAGCTGTTCCAGCCTCGGTTCATACGTTGCATGGGTGTCTATGGGGGCATGTGCAGACATGCTGTGTCAGTTGGTCATCTACAGAAAAAACTAAAGGTCCTACAGCTTTAAAAATGACACTGAGGGCTTCCTAACAATATTTCCCACAAAAATATGTTGTTTTTACACACATTTGGTGAAAATTGTGGCTGTATGGGAGAGTTGAAGTGAGAGAAAACGAGTAAAACTCTCAGCTCTCTCACCCAGACATGCTGAACGATGACATCATCACAGCTCAGTGCAGCAGGTCATGTGACTCACTGACAGTCTGAGGCTGAGCAGACACAGAAAAATGGCTCCTTCAACTTAAAGCAGGTTTAAATTGTGTCAAAATGGAGGTCAGACGGGCATGAGGGTCCAACGCAGACCGAGGACCCGACCAACGCTGCTTGCAGCTTTAATTGTCAATTGTAACCGCATTTACAATTGTACTTCAAACCATCAAAGCGCAACGAGGACAGCTAAAGCTCAGTACAATGCTAATGATCCGATGTATGTTAGTAATGTTCAGTGACAAACGTTTTCACTGTTTGGTGTGTTTTCTGGTGCACGTCACGGTCATTGCATACTATCAAGGCAGAAATTCTCAAGGCTAGGTTTGTGTAAGTGGACTCACCAGTGGTACTTGGATTATAGATGGTCTTGTCCGTCTGGATGAAGATGTAGCCAGACTGAAAGGAGACTAACACGACCTTCTCCAGCTCCCGGTCAGGGAATTTCGCCAGCAGGTAAACATACTGCTTTACTTTGGGATCCTTATTGAAGTCTGCAGCTGGGATCTGAGTGTAAAGAGACACAGTGTGAACTGAGAGATGAAAGTCATACAGTTTTAAAACATGTGAATCTGTACATCTGTGATACACAAGTATGTCCATAATGGGGTTCCCAAATAATTTATTCGCACATAAAGAAAATGCATAACAAAAAGGGCATATCGTTTAAATATAAAAGATTTGGTTGTACGGAGACTTGCACACAGTAAATGACTGTATACTTATGGCTGCTGTGGAAAAATTAATAATATTGATCATATGAAGTATGCAGGCCCAAAAATACTACACTACAATACCACAATGATAAAAAAAATCAAGTATCCATCTGACAATTGCAGCTGGGAGAGGAAGCTGTCACGATACCTACAGTGCCTATTAAAAGTATTTGCCCCCTTGGAAGTTTGCTTCTCAACCCTGAATCATGGTCAATTTATTTTTTTAGAATAAGTTACCCAAAAAAAGACTCTTTCATGGCAAAGTGAAAACCATGATTCAAGGTTCAATATAAAGGGAAAAGTTCCAAAGGTGGGAGAATATATAATACACTGTGTGTCATGAAGCAACTGATGAAGCTTGTTAGTGCGGCACTATTTTAATCTTGATTAGCAGACGTATTTTGGATTATGCATTGGAAACAGAGGTTAATAAAGCACATTATAGTGTCCAACAGTACTTCATCAATATTCAAAGATAATACAAATCCCAATTTTGTGTCACAATTGTGTTTCGGGAAAGCTGGGAGGAGGACCTGAGTGCCAATCAAAAGTTGGCAAGTGGGAAGAGTTTATAAAGGTTTGTCGGGGGAAAAAAATGCAAACAGAGGCTGACGGGAAGGATGGCGGTACTCAGGTTAGCAGGGACGGCAAGCAGAGATAAAAGTCTATATAAACAGGCAAGAGGTCAGGGCAGGTAATCAAAAAAAACGCAAAACAACTTGGGAAAAATTCTTGGCAGGACGCTCAAAGACAATGTGTCAGACAGTGCACCTTGGGCCTGCACTGCAAGTTCAACATATCCAGGATAACTTTTGTAGCTGGCTTCAGTAAGCCTAACATCTGCAAACACACGAAGCCAATCCAATGTTTCCACATGTAGCTGTAAACTTATTTATGTAAAGGAGACCAGCATGGTCAGGTCTGGAGTGACATTTTCTAAACACAGGAAGCAATGCTGTCACAAAAAAAACGGATATATATATATATATATATATATATATATATATATATATATATATATATATATATATATATATATATATATAATATGCAAATTAAAAGTGTTTGTAAGAAAACACTTAGCCCAGCTAGCAGCTACTACATTGGCTAACATTGCCTAAAAATTAGAATATTTTTTTTAAAAGAAAATGTTTTATTTTAGCAGTCAAAGAATGTTTAAAAGATGAAAAATCTTAAATCAACATCCGAAAAATGCTTTTAAGATGTTATCGTGGTCTCAGATGACAGAAAGTTTTTTAATACAATCTTCCTGCAGCATGATATATTTTCACACAAACACAAAAGAACATTCTGGAAACCAAAACAAACAAACAAAAAGACTTACTGCCAACAAACATTAGTAAAATTTTGCAAACTTTTTCACAATGTTTTAGAACGTCAACAAACAATCTAGCTCAGAGGTAGAAGCGTAGCATCAGAAAGCAGCCTATATTACCGTAAGTTTTCCAAAAGCCTGGAACTTGTTTTCTTTATTCAAGGTCACGGACGTGGATTTCAGCCTTCTGGTTTTGGTTGGATGGTTCATCACGACGATTTCAACGTTAACTTCGTTTTCAAGAGTGTAATCTTGAATTTCTACAAAGATGTTTTCTGGCGATCCCACTCGCAGCAAGTTGGGCGCAGACATCACCTCTCTGAAGAGAGATGACAGAAGGACTGTAGCATGCTTTGGAAAAAATGTATTTACTGGAGAACTATGTTTTTATTCAAGCTTCTGATTGATTTGTCAGATTTTATTTATTTATTACTCTTCTGAGAACTAATTTATTGACTGATTTCTCTATTCATTCACCTATTTACATATTTTAGTCTATTAAATGTGCAGTTTATTACTTCATTATTACTATTTTCTTATTCTGTTTTTAAAATTTTCATCTTCTATTTCTATCTCTGTTTTAATAATAGATATTTTATTTTTTTATTTAGTCCTTTTTTATGGGCTGCAAGGTGGCGCAGTTGGTAGCACTGTTGCCTCACAGCAAGAAGGTTGTGGTTCTTTCTGCATGGAGTTTCTCCCTGTGCAGCGTGGGCTCTCTCCGGGTTCCGGCTAAATTGTCCGTAGGTGTGAATGTGAGTGTGCTTGGTTGTCTGTCTCTAAGTGTAGCCCTGTGATAGACTGGCGACCTGTCCAGGGTGTCCCCTGCCTTCACCCTGAGTCAGCTGGGATAGGCTCCAGCACCCCACGACCCTCATGAGGATTAAGTGGTGTATAGATAATGGATGGATAGTCTTATTTTCTTTCAATTGATCTCATCTAATGTTTCTTCATTCCATGTGTTATTTAGGATATCGTTTCCTTCGTGCCTCGATCCCTGTGTTTTAGAGTCCTTCATCTGTAACACAAGGTTGGGGTTGGCTGCAAGGAGTTTGTTGGTATTAGTTGATTGCATTTTTATTTCTGTTTTCTGTAAAGCACTTTGTGCTGTATTTCATTTGCATGAAAAGTGAACAATAAATATCAATAAATCAATGAATAAATAAAGTCTGACTGATTGAACTAATGGTTAAGGGTATTTCAACTTGTAGATTAAACAAGTTTTATAGGGTTTTATTAAAGGTTTTAACACTTATAAAACATGCATTTTTACAAAATGTGCTTCCTACAATGTCTAAAAATAGATTTTCATTTAAAACGGCACACGTCTTCCACCAAGATGTACATTTTACAGTCGTATAGAAGCTCTGAGAGGTTGTATCGAAACACAGATGTGCTTTGAGCTGAAGGCCGGCGTCAACATGCCAACATGCTCAGCTTTGTTTGCTCTTAAAGTCTGCCTATTAATAAAGTGCATAAGAAATATGAGCAAATAGCTTGAAGTTTGGTGGAAACACGCGACCTACAGCATTTACTTCACATACAATCAGTAATCTATTAACCATTCTGACCAAGATCCAGCACCGGATCAATAAAACATTTCATCATTGTGCTGCACTCTGTTTGCCGTGTCACCACAGTGCAGACTGAAAACAAATGCCAGTAAATCGTGTGGCAAGTTACTGGCATTTGATTTATGTGACAAAAACAAAAAGAGGCAAAACTGTGCAGAAGTTAAACAAATAATCCAAATTTTTGTGGATGGTTGTGTCACTATGATTACACTCACTGACAATGTACACTACTTGTTATAGAATTACTCAATATCAAAAAGAAAGAACATTTTAGCTCTTTTAATCTCAAATCAATAATTTTGATCAGGCGTTCATGTTAAGGACGGCTCTGTAAAGGTAAGGCAGGTTTACTTACAGTGGAGCGCCATCAGTCAGAGAAATCAGAAAGGAAAATGCCATAAAGGCCAACAGTGGCGGCTCGGCCCGACACATCCTGCTGCCTAATGTCAAATCTGCTGTGTGTCCACTCTCCCTCTGCAACCCTCTTTAACCCACTTTTTGCTCCTCCTGCTCCTTCTGTCTCATCCAGTTAAAGGACATATGCTGTGTATTGTATTTCAGGATTTACTTGTTGATTGCATTTTAAATGATTAACCTGCAGACTGAATGAATGATCCATCACATGCGTTTGCTGCTGCTGACAAACCTCAAACACACAACCTTTCAGTCTCACAAACTGTGGTCTGTTTGTTAGGTAGTCATAAATCCAAGCGGTTGTGGAAGGATCCACCTGGAAGTTATGGAGCTTCTCACATAGTAAAGCAGGCTGAATAGT